CGGGGCAGGAAGGCTGCAAAAACAAAGGCCAGCGGCCCCCGGGAGCGGCCATGAGGAGAATGAGCCAATGCCCACAGGGCCAGGCTGTGGCTGAGCCAGGCCACAGCTGCCACACACCCTGCCAACACCTCTAGCCCTACGGGCCCTGGGCCTGCCCCAGGTGGCAAAGCAACTGGAAGGAGGTCTAGCAGCGGGAAGATGGAAAGCAGGAAGGATGCTGCAAGTCGGAGGCGCCAGCCAGGACTGCAGGGTAGGATATAATCCGGACTCCTGGGACAAGGGGAAGAGAGAAAAGGAGGAACATCATGGCTGATTCAGGGCCGAGATATACCCCTCACATGCAACAACTCACTCACCTAGAGAAAATCAGCTCCCTTTCCTGCCATGCATATCTTATTCCCAATCTACTTGGAACCCCAGGCCTTTTCTCCCAGAAGCCTTCCCAGATTAATTTGTTTTCATTTTTGGCTTTCTTCTTTATTTATTTAGATTCTATTTTTTTTTTAATTTGCTATAGGGGAGCTTGCAGGTGGCATGATGGTTAAGACACTAGACTCCTACATGGCTGACCACAGGCTGAATCCCAGACCTGGTGGCTTGCTTTTTCACTTTCCTTCTCTCTCTGGTCAAATAAAAAAAAAATAATAATGATAAAATAATTTAAAATATTTGCTATAGGGTATGTAAACTCACCAGCGAGAGAGGAAGGAAGTGAGAAAGCATCCCCTCGGGGGGATGATCATGCTGCAATCCCTTCTCCTCCATTCTCCTCTTAGAATTTTGGCATGCACGCACATATCTGGTAAGTATTTCAAGCTGCTGGGTCCAGGACTTGAACTGCATAGCCATGTGGGATCCAACTACCTTAATCACCAGACCACCTGGCTGGCCCAACCCAATTTACTTTCTAATCTACCCATACCATTTCTGATTCATCATAAGCATTAACAATTTAGCATTGGAGCCAGAAGGTGGTGTGATGGTTAAGTGCTGGACTCCCACACGACCGACCGCAGTTTGAGTTCTGAACTTGGTGGCTTGGTTTTTCACTTTCTCTTTCTCTAACCGCACTTTGAGTTCTGAACTCGGTGGCTTGGGTTTTCACTTTCTCTTTCTCTCTCTCTGGTGAAATTAAAAAATAATAAAAAAAATTTTTTTTGAATAAATAATTGTTTAAAAAAACTATTTTGCATTAAGGTTGTACCTAACAATAAAGACTCTGATTAGAAGGAACATACAGACAACAACCAAGGGCTTCATGCTCATTTTTATAAAGTGATTTACTGGGACGAGCAGACGGCATAATGGCTATATTTCTGGACTCCCACGTAGTCGAAAGCAATTCAAGCCCCAGACCCAGTGGCTTAAAACTCATGCCGGGCACATGTGTGTGCATGCCCAAATTCCGAAGCGGAGAATGGAGAAAAGTGATTGTGGAGTGGCCATCCCCCTTGGGGGGGTGGTTTCTTGCTTTCTGTCTCTCTGTCTCTCAGTGAGTACATGCACCCTATAGCAAAAATCTCTCTTAAAAAAATAAATAAAAAAAAAAATAAAGTGATTTACCTAAGCCTACCCTTAAATTCACCTGAAACCCTGTCAGATGCACTATCTGACTTACAGACAGCTTCTGTACTCTAATACTCTAGTCTAATTTTTTTTTTAAAGTTTTTCCTAGAAGGTGCATAACTTACTGGAAAAGAAAGAGAGAGAGCACAGCCCCCACTGGGAATGGTCATGCTGCAATCCTTCGTCCTCCATTTTTCCTTTCAGGATTTCAGGCACTCATTCACCTGCACCAGGCATGTTTTTCGAAACACTGGGTTCAAGACTCAAACCACATAGCCAGTCATGTGAGATCCGGCAACCTTTACCACCAAGCCACCAGCTAGCCCTTTAGCCTTAATTAATTATTTTTTTGCCATAAGGCACATGCTTTTGCTAGAGAGAGAGAGAGGGAAAGTGAGAAATATCCTTAAAAGAGAATAGGGCTGGTAGGTGGCGTGGTGGTTAAGGGTGCTTGACTCCCACATGGCTGACTGTGGTTTGAGTCCTGGACCTGGGGGCTTGCCTTCTCACTTTCTTTCTCTCTCTCTCACTCTCTTTCTCTCTGATAAAATTAAAATTAAAATAAATAAATGGATAAAATTAAATAAAATAATTATAGAAAAAAAAAACAAACCAAAGAACATAGACATGCCTCAATCCCCTCTCCTCCATTCTCTTCCTAGGATTTTGAGCATTCACACACACAAACACACACACACGCCCAGTGTGATTTTCAAGCCACCAGGACCAGGACTTGAACCATGGCTGGCGCCATATGGGAATCCAGTGTCTTAACTATCACGCCTCCTGCTGCCCTCAACCTTAGTTTTATAAAGCCTCACAATATTCTACCCTGACTTTCTCCTGGTGGTAGAAGGTGGTGTGGATCACTTCTGACATTCCTTTAGCTGAAGAAAAATCTCTTTCTAGTTTCGTCTATATACTTTCGGTACGTAAAAAATATTTTTAATGAACAAAAGATGACCTGTCTACATTAAGAAACAAACACAGGGCAGCCTGTGGCGTGATGATTTAGGTGGCTAGATCCTATATGGCCAACGATGTGGTTTGAGTCCCGGACCCATTGGCTTGCTGTGTGTGATGTGTGCCCCAAATCCCAAAACAACGGAGAGATGGAAGAGAAGGGACTATGGCCTGACCATTCCCCACGGGGTTGGGAAGCTGGGGTGCTTCCTTGCTTTCCCTTCTCCAGTTTCTGTCTGTCTCTCTCCAGTGAGCACATGTGCTACGGGAAGCACATCTGTATCAGTGAATAATGAAATGTCTTGAAGGTTCACATAGAAGAGGACAGTGTGCCTTTGTTAGCAGGGCTGAGTCACTAAAAAGTTTAGCTGTAAGGTAAAATCCTTTGGGTTTTCTTAAAAGTCTACCTGATGGCTGCTAGTTGGTGGCATGCTGGTTAAGGTGGGCTGGATCCCACATGGCCAACTGCACCATTCAAGTCCCAGACCCGCATGAAAGACATGCTGGGCACATGTGCATGTGTACCCAAAATCCTGAGAGGGGGGTCACAGTGTGACCACCCCTGTGGGGGTGATTTCTCACTTCCACTTTCTCTCTCTGGTGAGCACACACAAAAACTGAAAAAAATAAATTCACCTGACGACAACTACTTGGAAGAGTTTAGATTAGAATAAAAATCAGCCTTTAAAATTCTATTTCCCAAGAGGTGATATTATAAAAAAGAACATTGGCACCAGGCCACCGGAGGCCGGTGTGCTGGCCCTACGCTGGCTATCAACCAGCCTCTGGGTGAGCATCCCACTTTCCTCATCAGGGAGTGGCAAGGAGTCCAGAGGGCCTTTCCTGAGATTCTGGATGTGTTTAACCCTCATTAACATTATACAAAAGCTTAGGACATGAAGCGAGATAGCCACAACTTCTACTTATTATATGATGATCTGTATTGCCTTCTCATTAAACTATGAGTTCCCAAAGGAGCGTACCTTTGATTTTATTTATTTATGAGAAATTTTTGCTATAGGGTGCATGCACTTGCCAGAGAGAGAGGGACAGAAAGTGAGAAATTACCCCCCCAGAGGGTTGGCCAGGCTGCAATTCCTTCTCATCCATTCTCCTCTTACGATTTTGGGCACACATGCACACGCACCCAGCGTGAGTTTTAAGCCACCAGGTCTGAGACTTGAGCCACGGTCGACTATGTGGGAGTCCAGCAATGGAATCATATGCCATCTGTGATCTAGGATCATGCCTTTTAAAGACAAGGTCTTACTATGTCAAGATTTTCTTGCCTTAGCCTCCTAGCTGGGACTACAAGAATGTGCTACCACCTTGGTTCTCACCCTCCTCACCCACAGACAGGGTTTTGACATGTTGCCCAGGCCAGCCTTGAGTTCTTGACCGTCTTGCCTCTGCCTCTCTGAGTCGCTGGACTTACAGGCATACAACACTATGCCCAGCCTTAAGATTGGACCAGGAAAGGACTCCTGACCTCCTATGTGGTCCCAGCATGCAGCACAGTGTCTCAGCAGTGGATAGCAAGGCTGTGCCAGAATGTGCCAGTTTTTAATAGCTTCTCCTCTGAGCGGGCTGTAGATGTGTGTGCTAACTAATGATCTCTAGACTTTTCTCTCACTGCTTTTTTAAAAAAAAATTTACCCTCTTAACTGTTTTATTTTATTTTAATTATTTTTTAATTTGACCAGAGAGGGAGAGAGGAAGGGACAATGAGAAAGCAAGCCACCAGCTCTGAGACTCAAACTGTGGTCGGCCATGTGGAAGTCCAGTGTCTTAACCACCATGCCATGAGCCAGTCCCTTGTCTCACTCTTAGACATCAAAGACAAACCAGGATTGCTTCCAGATCAAATAGGTCTACATCTTCTCGTACCAAAGGAAGCAATGCACAAGCCCCCTAATTACACTTGGATAGACAGGGACACTTTACTCCCATGATACTAGGAACTTGCAAAGGCAGAGGCCCGATTACCCTCTGCCTTCTCAGCAGCTAGAGAGAGACTGACTTTAGCTACTTTTGGTCACACCCAAAGGAAATACAAAACTGAGGTGTGTTTAGCACCCATGCCTCATAGCCCTAAACTCCGCAATGGTTTAGGCTTTGATCTTGTTCTTCTTTTCTACCTATAGCTTCCCCTCCGTCTGAATATACATATGCCTTTCTTAGAGTAGGAACACTAATTTTGGGAGGGAAGTGCTGAGAAACTGATTCTACGACTCAGACACAAGTCATCCTTTTTGGCTAAAAACATTGTTCACCTAATTTTGCCTAAAATTCATGAGTTCTGTCTGGACATCTGGAAATCTACGAGTGATGATTGTGACCATTTGTTGGGCCTTTAAAAAACATGCCAAGCACTGCACCATATGCTTAGATGCATTATTTCAGTCAAACCTAACAATGCTAGGAGACTCAGAGACGGTCCAAGGACTGCCACACTGCTGCTATGTGATGACGCTCAGATTTTAATCTACTTCTGCCCTACTGCAGAGATCTCTACTGCATGGAAGATACGGGTTGCGAGTGAAGACTGATGTCCTGCCCTGCCTCTACCCACCTCGGGGTGCCCCAGTAGCAGGCGCTGAGCACGGCGAGGAGCGTGTGGGGCAGGGCGCCGAGCACTAGCTGGGTAAAGCAATGGCCCGGGGTGTTCCCCTGCCACAGCGGGAGCGGCCGCGCTGCGCTGGTGCCGCACAACTGGGCCAAGAGCCGCTCCATGGACGCGTCACCTGAGGGGAAAGCCGAGGGTGAAAGGGGTCAGGTGTCATCACGACTCTGGACAAAGGTCCCAGCCGGGCCTCCCCGCCTCCGACCCCGCCCTCCAATCCCGACCACTTACTTCCGCTCCGAAACCAGAGCCCGCCCATCTCGCGGCACTTCCTAGGGTGAGAGGGGACTGGTTCTCTCCCAGAGCAGGCGGGTTTCTGGACTCGAGTCACCCACCCTGCGCCCTCACCTTCTCCACCCTTGTTTCTACGCCCCCAGGGGCCCAGAGCGTCATACCTGAAAAAGTTGCTTTTTCCAGATTTCAGTATCTTGATCGCTGGTGGAAGCAGAGGAATGTGCGCCGGGCTGTGGGTGCCGGGAGAGACTTCACCAGCGCCCCCTAGAGGCGGGAAGACCTATCAGGCGCTGTTTGCCCTTCCCAGCCGCCGGGCTTCTGCGCACATGCGCTTTACTGCGTGCTTCTGCGGGCCTCTGTGCGCAGGCGCGCTGCCACCGTCGAGGCCTTGGATTTCGGAATAGCTCCCTGTCCAACCTGTTTCTGCTTTACTACAATATAGGGCAGCTCATAGCCTCTGTCTTGGGGTAGTCGCTCCCATATAGCTACTGCTTGCGAGGTGACACAGGCATTGCACACACTAATTCTTAATTTTTTCAGAGAAGTTTTTGCGTTTAGAGTGTGTGCACTTGCTGGAGAGACGCAGGGACAGTAAGAGGGAAAGTGAGAAATCACCACCAGAGGGGATGGCCATACCGCAATACCTTCTCTATTCTCCTGCCAGAATCTTGGGCACACATGCACATGTTCCCAGAGTGAGTTTCAAGCCACTGGGTCCAGGACTTGAACCACAGTCGACTATGTGAAAGTCCAGCATTGTAACCACCATGCCAACTGCTGGCCTCCTAATTCTTAAATTATTTCTAATTCTTAAATTAGGCCAAACATGCCTACCATACGGACAAATAATGCACTTATGAACACTTAACAAAACATTTCCTTCCTTATTGTAATAACTTTGGGAAGTTGCCTAACCTCTTCAGGCATCAGTTTATTCTGTACAATGGCAGCAATAATGCCAATACTGAAACACTGCGGAGTTTAATTTAGAGTGCTTAGGACAAGAGTCTTGCTTCCAGTAGTCTTCCAGTAGGTACCTCTTACAGAGAGATGGTGGAAAAGACATAAGCCTTATAGTTAGAGCAATATGGATTTGAATCACCAACTTTTTTACCATATGAGGATGGGCAAATTACTTTGGCATCTTAAGTTTTATATGGTTGTTTGGTGTGGTATTGGTATCTACCTCACACATGAGTACAGTGCTGGAGGAGCAGTAGCTCAACAAATAACTATGGGGGCCGGCAGACATTGTGGTTAAAGTGGTGGACTCCCAAATGGATGTCTGTGGTTCAAGTCCCAGGCCTGGCAGCTTGCTTTTTCATTTTCTCCTTCTCTCTCTGGCCAAATAAAAATAATAATGAATAAAATTAAAACAAATACTTATTTAAAAACAAACAAAAACCAAATAACTATGATTATCCCACTTAATCTCAGTAAGACTAGTATCTCTCAATGTCAGAAATTAATGTTCTCTTTTTGAAAAATCAAGAAGTAAAATTGCTGGGACCAGCAGATGGTGTGTGTAATGGTTACATTGCTGGACTCCCATGTAGTCTACTGCCATTCAAGTCCCAGAACCCACAGCTTAAAAATCACATCAGGCATATGTGCGTGCGTGTCCAAAATCCCAAGAGGAGAATGGAGGAGAAGGGATTGTGGTATGGCCAAAGTGAGTGATTTATCTCTTCCTTTCTCTGTGTTTCTCCAGTGAGCGCATGCACCCTATAGCAAAAATCTCTCTAGAAAGAATAAAATACAATTGCTTTGTATTTAGCAATTGTAAATAACTAATGGGTCATCTGGGCAATGATCAATGGTTCCTGACTCACAAGAGTGCCAATATAGAACAAATAGAGAGGCAGGATGTTAGTGGGACACAGATATGGCTTATTACCTGTTGGTGATGACATGTATAGTATTCTCAACTGGATTGGTCTAAGAAGTATTTCATGATGGATTAAGTCTTTTTACAAGCAAAGTGAGAAATAGTGACTGACTGGTTAAAAAATAATTGGAATGATAATAATAATGATCAGGAAAACAATGAAAAGATATTGACTGATGAAGTGGGGATTTTAATGTCTCTGTATTGACGGACATGCATGGCATTCCCTTTTGAAAAAGCAATGTAATACACTGTAAAGTTATATGCAATTCAAAGTAATATAAATAAGATTGTGATGATAATTAAAAAAAAGAGTGTCAATATACATTGCGTGCCTTCTAAGGAAATTTAAATATTCCTACCAATACAATGTAACCTGAATCTGATCAAGCCATTAGACCTAATTATCTTGCAAGAAATATGGGAGACAAATAATAATATAAGATTACAGCTCCCAATATCCAGATTATAAAAAGCTGTATAGAACAAATGACCTAACATCTTAAAACAAAATAATTGCTAAAGGAAATTATGAAGAAGGAAACCTATAAATTAGAAGATGTTTGAAAGACATTCTAGCCAATTACATGGATCTTACTGAGTCCTAATTTGGACAAATTATTTTTTTAAAGCAATGAGACAATCAGAGACATTTTAACAGTCTGGATACAGCATGATTTTAAAAATTAATGTTCAAAGTTTGAAGTATAATAATGGTATTATAGGGCCAGCCAGATGGTATGGTGGTTAAGGCAGCTCGATCCCACATGACTAACTGTGTAATCTCATACCTGGACCCAGTGGCTTGGAAAAACGCACCAGCTACATGTGCACATGTGCCCCAAAATCCTGAAAAGATAATGAAGGAGAAGGGATTGCGGCATGGCCATCCCCCCAGGGAGGTGATTTCTCTCTCTCTCCCCTTCTCCCTGGCAAGCACATGTACCCTATAGCAAAACTGAAAAAAAAAATTATGTTTGTTTATTTTTATTTATTTATTCTTTAGAGAAATTTTTGCTATAGGGTATGTGCACTCACAAGAAGGAGAGAGACAGAAAGTGAGAAATCACCCCTGGGGGATGGCCGCACTGCAATCCCTTCTCCTCCGCCCTTCTACTCCATTCTCTTCTCAGGATTTTGGGCACGCACACACACTGACCTGGTGTGAATTTGAAGCTGTCAGATCTGGGACTCAGACTGTAGTGCAGCAACATAACCATTACACCATCTGCTGGTCCCGTATTTTAATTTAATTTATTTATTTAAGAATAATTTTATTTAACTTTATTCATTGTCATTATTTCATTTTATTTTTTTGAAGTTGACCAGAGAGAGACAGAGAGAGAGAAGGAAAGTGAGAAAGCAAGCCACCAGGTCCAGAACTCAAGTCAGCCATGTGGGAAACCAGCCGCCTTAACCACCACACCACCTGCCAACCCCATTTTTTAAAAAAATTGTTTTATTTAACTTTATTTTAACTTGACCAGAGAGGGAGAGGGAGAGAGAGAGAGAGTGAAAAAGCAATCCGCCAGGTTTGGGACTTGAACCACAGTCATCCATGTGGCAGTCCAGCACTTTAACCACCACACTGGTGTGCAGCCAACCATGTGGGAGTCAAGCACCCCTAACAACACCTGCTGGCTATATATATATATATATATATTTTTTAAGAGGTTTTTGCTATGGTATGCGCGTGTTCACCAGAGAGACAGAGAACAGAAAGCGAGAAATCACTCCCCAGGGAGGATGGCCATGCCACAACCCCTTCTCCTCCATTCTCCTCTCAGGATTTTGGGCATGCACGCCCATGTGCCCAGCATGAGTTTTAAGTCCCCAGATCCAGAACTTGAACTGTGGCTGACTATGTGGGAGTCCAGCGACGTAACCATTACACCATTTGCTGGTCCTAAGGTCTAATATTTTTAAAGAACTTATGTCTTAGAGAATGTATTGAAATGTTTACGGATGAAATTACATGATGCCAGGGATTTGCTTCAAAATAATATGAGGTAGGGGAAACAAGTGGGAATACAGTTAAAACAAGATTAGCCTTAGCTGATAATCGGGTGATGGGTGTTTGAGTGTGAATCAAGTGGTCTCCCTGCAGGTTTAAGCCGCATGGATATTGGCCTCGCCCAGGATTGTACAACCAGTGCAGGTCACAGGTACATTGTAGACCAGGAATGGGGGTATCCAAACCATGCCCCTTGTAAGGCTTCATGGCCCAATTTCTGAATCAAGAGCCCCTCTCAAGAATTTACATTTGGGGGGATCAGCAGATAGCATAATACCGGTGTCGCTGGACTCCCATGTAGTCGACCGCAGTTCACATCCTGAGCCAGTGGCTTAAAACTCAGGCTGGGCACGCGTGCTTGCATGGCCAAAATCTCAAGGGGAGAATAGAGAAGGGATCGTAGCATGGCTGTACTCCTACCTCCCCCCACCCCCGCCCCAGGGAGGGGACGATTTCTCACTTTCTATTTTTCTGGCGAGCACACACGACCTATCGCAAAAATTTCTCTCTCAAAAAGAAAAAAATGTATATAAAAATTGTTTTAAAATACCTGGTGGCATAGTTAGCCCCTTCCTTTCTTCTTTCCTTCCTTCCTTCCTTTCTTCTTTCTTTCTTTCTTCTCTCTCTCTTTTTTATTTCAGAGGTTTTTGCCTCAGGGTATGTAAATTCAAACAAGAGCCAGTTAGGTGAGGGAGAAATTCAGGGGTGCTGACAACCCACCACTTTCTGACTGCATTCACCATCTACTCTATAGTGAGTCCTGAGCTCTAGTATCCCCCGTGGCCCTGAGCAGGACAGGTTGGTCTGAAATCATTGCCATTTTCATCAAACTGTTTTTGTTTGTTTTGTTTTTTGGAGAGGGTTTTTAGGGCTCATGTGCTCACCAGAAAGACAGAGAGAGACAGAGAGACAGAAAGTGAGAAATCACCCCCCGGGGGGATGGCCATGCCGCAATCCCTTCTCCTTCATTCTCCTAGGAATCTTGGGCATGCACGCACATGCGCCAGGTGTGACTTTAAGCCACTGGGTCTGGGACTTGAACTGCGGTCAACTACATGACAGTCCAGCGACATAGCCATTACGCTAACTGCTGGTCCCTGTTTTTGTTATTTTAATTTGCTACAGGGTACATGTGCTCACCACAGAAAGACAGGGAGAGGACAATGATAAAGCACCCACAAAGGGAATGGCCACACCTCAGTTCCCTTTCTTCTATTCTCTTCTTGGCATTTTGAGCATGTGCTCACATGTTTCTCAAGCCACCAGGTCCAGGACTTGAACTGGGCAGCTGGTCATGTGGGATTCAGTCACCTTAATAACTACTCTACCACTGGCCCCTCATTAAACCTTTGAGCTTACAG